TTTTTGGCCGAGTGAACTATCTTGTTAGGAACGATCTTTGGCTTCCTTCATGGCACACACAAAATATGTGGATGGTCTATTGCTCCAAACAAAGAACTGGTTTCTTAAAAAACCCAAAAAACAAACAAAACAACCAAAATCCGACCCCAACAACATAAAAAAAACGAACAGAAAAGCCAAAAAGAAATTTTTAATTAGCCCCCCCCCCAAAAAAAAACAAAAAAACGTAGGGAAAACAGTTGTGTGTATAGTGGGTGCTCTGGTGTCATTTGCTTCTTCTTTCCTATGAAACCTCTAAATATTGTCTTTAAATTATAGCTTTTTCTTCTTTTATTTGTAGGTTTCTATCTAGTAAATTCTTCGGCACTTACATGTTCGCTTTTAAGCACAAGGGGGCTATCCCGAAAAATGCCGTTTTGAGAAAATCGAAGGTAAAGTTTTTGCCCCTTGTTCAGTTCCGTTAAAAGACAAGGAGAGTTTTCTCTATAACCAAACAAATATACACACCAATGAAACCAAACTGTCCCTATAGGTAGGGCACTGCCCACTTTGGTGTAGGTCAAGATTTCTGGAAACCCCCGAAATCTGAGTTGGCCCGCTTGTCCTTAAAAGCGACCATGTGACCTAATAATTGTATTGCAAGTGCCTTTAAACTTATTACCAAAAAAAAAAAAAAAAAAAGATTTTTTTTTTTAGAAAAGGAGTACGCCAAAGAAACCCCCTTTTATTTTTAATGACTCGAGATGCAACAAAAAGTTAGACAACAGTGATTTCCTATTTCTATTTTTAGAACATGTTGATCCCTCAGTTATTTGACTTTTTGTTAAAGATACAAAAGCTTACAAACATTACTTACATGACCAAAATTGAGTCGATAGTGCCATAAAACACCTACTCAATCAATCAATCAGCTTACAAACAGTTATTTTATACATTCTATGACACATTGTTTGGGGTTTTTGGGTTTGTTTGTTTTTTAATACTCGCATTTTGACTTTGGCAATTCTTAAAAAACTGTTTAAACTTAATACGCCTACCTGAAAAAACCCCCCAACAAAAACCGTCAAAACCCTCATCAATTAAATCCAGTTCCTCATTTGGAGCAAAGAGGCACCATCAATATACATACATCTTTTGTAGAGACTTTTGAGGCTCGTGTGAGTTTGTTGAAATCAGAATTGTACAGACATGGTTAAAAAAAAAAAAAAGCCCTACTGTTTTACACCGTTTTTAACACGCAATAGTTGTTCTACATATGGTCATTACGGTAATATAGAGATAGTGAATTCACATTTTGTCAAGGGAGGGAAGATGGTGCAATGCTGATTCTCGTATAAAAAATTAGAGATTCTATTTTCGCGCGGTGTGCAATGAAAACGTCCATTTAGATGAAACATTTTCATGAAATGGAGTAGGTGTCTGGAGGAATTCTTTGGTAGGTCCCACTTCCTTACTTTCCCCTCTGTTATTTATTTCTGTCTGTGTGGGTGGTTGGAGGGCGCCACTGGTAGGTCCTACTTCTTTACTTTCTCTTTGTGGTTTTTCTGTCTGTCCATTTTACGTTCCCCAAGCACTAAATGACCATTATTGTGTCGATGTGCTTCTCTTTACTCAAACAAACAAACATTTTCACCTAGCAGGCCATGTACATGGTGGGGGGATACAGTATCCCAGCAGAACTACGGCGGAGATACTCGATGAAATGTCCCATCCCGCCCCCC